GAGGGGAAGACCCTCTATGAGGTGGATTGATTCAGTGACTGGGGTAATTGGGATGGGTGTGTCAGAGGCAGTGAGATTATTAGGACAGGACAGAGCAGGGTTTAGGGCTATTGTACATAGGGTCGCTATGAGTCACAAGCCACTTGACGGCACATAACAACAACAACAACAATAGGTGAGAATAAGAAGGTCTGAACCAAGGTCAAGGTGGTAGGTTTAGAGAGGAGGGGATCACCAAGTTATAATAACAAGGTGCAAGAATTTATTGAAATGAGCAAATATAAACAGCAGAAATAAAGAACAGCTTCCAGACAGCTTGGGTGATCTCAGTCATCACATTTTAGTATCAGAATTTGCAATTACCTTAAACATGTACTTTTTAAAAATATGTAGGAGATTTCCAATTTATATACCAAGAAATCAAACAGCTGGACAGAAAGTTTCAAAAAGCAGCCTGGGACAACAAAGCAAGATACTATAATGAAATGTGCAGAGGACTGGAGTCAGAAAATCAAAAGGGCTGAACTTGCTCAGTTTTTCTTAACTGAAGGAGTTGAAAAACAAATTCAAGCCACTGCTGTCAGTACTTAAGGATACTTTTGGTAGAATGTTAAATGATCCAGGAAGTATCAAGAGAAGATGGGAGGAGTACACAGAGTCACTGAATCAGAAGGAATTGGCTGACAAAGAAGAATTTCATGAAATAACATATGGGCAAGAAAGCCTACGGTGATGAAGGAGGAAGTTAAAATTGCTTTGAAGGAATTGGCAATAAACAAAGCTCCAGGAGTTTACGGCATACCAATTGACATATTTCAACAAACAGACCCTACCCTGGATGTGCTCACTAAGTTGTGCCAAGAAATCTGGACGAGAGCCAGCTGGCCAACTAACTGGAAAAGATTGATATTTGTTCCCATTCCAAAGAAAGGTGACCAAAGAGAGTGTGAAAATTATCGAATAATATCATAAATATCGCATGTAAGCAAGATTCTGATGAAAATTATCCCAAAACATTTGGAACAATATATCAACAGAGAACTGCCAGATGTGCAAGCTAGATTTAGAAGAGGACGTGGTATTAGGGATATTAGAGCTAATGTTAGATGGATCTTGGCAGGAAGCAAAGAATACCCGAAGAATGTCTATCTGTTCTTCATTGACTATGCAAAGGCTTTTGACTGTGTGGATCACAACAAGCTGTGGCTGACTCTGAGAAGAATGGGAATCCCAGAACATTTAATCGTGCTAATGTGAAACCTGCTGGAGTGGTGGGAATGAGTGTGTTTGAGATGGCTAGGTTGGCTCAGGATAGAACAGCGTTTAAGGCTCTTGTACATGGGGTGGTTATGAGTCACAAGCAACTCGATGGCACATCAACAATACATGGAATTATGCATATCTTAACTATATATATTTCATCAGATACATGGCCTTGAACACTAATGAGCGAAGACCAGATGAGTTGTGGGAGGATATCAAGGGTATCATCCAGGAAGAGTGCAAACGGTCACTGCAAAGACAGAAGAGGAAGCGAAGACCAAAATGGATGTCAGAAGA